GACTTCAACTCCCAGAATTCCTGAGCCAGCCATGCTGAGGGGAAAGGGAGAGGTTTCCAAGGTAAGCCATGCTGATTCAGGAATTCTGGGAGTTGAAGTCCACGAGTCATAAAAGAGCCAAGGTTGTCTACCCCTGGCATAGCCCATTGGACATAGCTATCTGAGGGAGTCTTCTCTCCCATTTGGGATTACTTTCTTAACATAGTAGTTTCATCCTTCTACCAAGTTATGCTTTCTTGGACCTTATATGGGTAGTCCTCGACTTACGACCACAACTGAGACATTGCTAAGTGAGACTTTTGTTAAGTGAGTCACGCCTCATTTTAAGACCTTTCTTGTCAGAGCTGTTAAGTGAATCACTGCAGTTAAGTTAGCCGCACGGTTGTTAAGTGAATCTGGCTTCCCCATTGACTTTGCCTGTCAGAAGGTCACAAAAAGTGATCATATGACCCTGGGACACTTGCAACCGTCATAAATATGAGTCAGGTGCCAAGCGTCTGAAATTTTGACATGTGATCATGGGGATGCTGCAACGGTCATAGGTGTGAAAAATGATCGTAAGTCATTTTTTTTCAGAGCTGTTGTAACTTCAAACGGTCACGAAATGAACTGTTGTTAAGTCTAGGACTACCTGTACAATCCAGTTTTATAATCTGGGAAATTAAAAAAATAAAGTACCTGAAATGTAACACATCCCACAGGGAGATATTTCCGATCCTCCAGCATGCTTAGATATTCAGCCACCAGAGCTGCAGAGTGAACCAAACACTGTGCCGATTCGGCATGGTTATTTCTCGCCGAGTGTTTTCCAGCCATGTTCTGCAGCCAGGTTAGTCGTAGATCTGGGGAATTCTGATATCCTTTTGCAATTCTAGGTTTTGAAGCCAGAAGATTCAGGTTAACGTGTATTTCTTTGCCTGCAATTTCTGAGAGAGGGGCAAACTCTGTCAATCCTACCTGTACATCAAGTCAATTAGCATTTCTGGATCTTCCTGGTGTTCTTTCATTTTAACTGTATCCGAGAGGATCATATGGAGGTTGAACACAAGATCCTGTACCTGAAAATAGGAAATAC